TCAAGCAACCAAGAAAATTATCTAGAGCTCTTGCATTTCCTTTCCAGAAATAATGAAGCTATTAAAAGAGTTACTTTTAGTGAAGCTCCTAAACATAACAAATTGACTTCTCCATATATTCAAAAAGACATTAGTCAAGCTGCTATAGAGGAGATTATAAATGTGATTATTAAATATCTAGGTGACTCATTATTTTCAATTTTAATTGATGAGTCACATGACATATCAATCAAGGAACAAATAGCAGTTGTTATACGATATGTAGACAGCAATGGATATATAATTGAATGTTTCCTTGGTATTCAACATGTATCAGATACAACTGCTAGTTCACTCAAGGCAGCTATTGAAGCTTTATTTTCTAAACGTGGGCTAAGTATATCAAGATTACGTGGTCAGGGATATGATAGAACTAGTAACACGCGAGGTGAATTCAATGACTTGAAAGCACTTATTCTAAATAATAATCTAAATGCATATTATGTACATTGTTTTGCTCACAAACTTTAATTGACTCTACTGTTACAAAAAAGCATAATGAAGTTGGAGATGTCTTCAATTTTATTTCTAGCATTATAAACATAGTTGGAGCATCATGCAAAAGGATGGAGGTGATTACAGATGTCTTCAATAGTTGGAGCATCATGTCTTCAATATGCTAGAATTATTGAAGGACTTGAAAATGGAGAAATTTCTAGTGGATGAGGCTTGAATCAAGAAACTTATCTTAGAAGGTATAGTGATACTCGTTGGGGCTCCCACTATATTACAATTATTCATCTAATTGTAATGTTTTCATCAATTTTTGATGTGCTTAAGATTATAAGGGAGGATGAGGTGAACTCAAATAGAGAACAGAAGCAGTCGTTTTAACAGATATTATGGAATCATTTAATTTTGTATTCATGCTTCATTGTTTGAGAAGGATACTAGTAGTTACTAATGAGTTCTCACAAGCATTACAAAGAAAAGATCAAAACATAGAAAATGCTATGAGTTTATTGAGAACATCAAAGGAACGATTCAAAATAATGAGAGAGAATGATTGGGAATCTTTACTAGAAGAAGTGTCATCTTTTTTATATTCTAAACATAGATGATGAGTACAAGCTTTGTGGGCGTTCAAGGTGAAAATCTCAAGGGATTACAAACCTACACCATTTCCGTTATAAATTGTTTAACAATATTATTGGCATGCAACTTACCAAGTTGGATGATTATTTTACTGAGACAAATACATAGTTACTTCTTTATATGGTATATTTAAACCTAAGTAACTTTTTTTCTGCTTTCAACAAAGAAAAGCTTCTTCACCTTGCTCTTTTTTATCCTAATGAATTCTCTATAGTGGACCTTATAGTACGTAGTGACCAACTTGATACGTATATTGTTGATCTACATGGTGATGATGAGTTCTCTGGTGTAAAGGTACTGCTAGTCTTGTAGTGAAAATAGTAAAAATAAAGAAGAATTTGATATTTCCATTAGTATATATGCTTATCAAATTGTCATTACTTCTACTAGTTGCAACTGCTATAGTGGAGAGAGTTTTTTCTATTATATATATTGTCAAGAGTAGATTGCGGAATAGGATGGGAGATAAGTGGATGAATGATAGTTTGGTTGTATACATTGAGAAAGATATATTCAATAAGATTGATGATGAAGCTATTATGAAGCGGTTTCAAAATATGAAAACTCAAAGAGAACAATTATAATGTAAGTTTTTTTAGTTTAAAAATATTTTTAAATTAATTTTAATTGATATGAATTAGTATATTTATTTAAATTGATTTTTAATACATATCTATATAATATAATATTTATTAATAATTTATGCTCTCATTGAAAAAACTCTAGCTTCGCTACCATTTACAATTGAGTATGGCTACGATGTATGGCTAAGATCCCTTGGGTTAGTTTTTTTTTTAATGAGGGATTGAACATTCAACTGTGATAATTATTAAATTTGTAAAAGACAATCATTGCGTTGAATCCAAAAGGCAAATTAAAAATGTATTTTACTTAAAAATATTTTAAAACACGGAGAACTATATTTTTAAGTAATTGCATATAACCTAACAAGAACATATGGTTTTCTTGTGGTTCAAGTCAAAGAGTGTGCCTATCGCAACCCTAGATTAACGAGAACTAGTTGTTTATTAATCAAGATTAACAAAGCCCCCGAAGAAACTTTCCTTGCCCGGCCAGCCAAACTTCTTCTTCTTTTTTTTAAAAAAAGTATTATATTAAACCCCATTTATTAGAAAATATATATTAACAAAAATACATAAGCATCCAGGTATTTAAGAGAGGTTAATCGCTGTCCATTAACTCAGGAAAGGGAATATTGTAGTTATTGCTTATTTAAATTTAACAGATTCAGAGGCCATGACAGGGTACCGTTGCCATTGACTAGTCCATTGGCCAATGTACTTGGTATTGACCCCAAAGTCTTCTCACATTCACCTGTTTCTTGATCAATAATTGATATTACATTTAGATTACGATGAGATCAGATTTTCTGCAAGAATTTACTTGAAGCAGAAGGAGAAGGCAATAGACGAGAAAAATCATCTCTTATCATCAACACTATGCAACTTCTTCTTCGTCTTGTTTGCTGATGCAAAACACAAGTCAACTGTTCTTATGATCTGTTGGTAAGTCTTTCTGCTCCATGCTGTCTTCTATATTTAAGATTAATATACGAGTTTGATAAGTTTGATTCATGAACGTATTAATTCTTCCATCTGTAATTCTTTTTGCTCCGCTAGTGACTGTTCTTGCAATGGAAGTAATAGCAAGCTAGCATGGGTAGCAAGTGACGAGTGATCAAATTAAGATAGATCATATCCATCGTTAAGAGTTTGAGGAATTTTCTGATAATACAAGAAAGTCAATTACAGTTTTCTCCTTTTCTTTTTAATTATATTAAATATAACAACAAGCCTTAGATTAAATTTGATCCTATTTCGAAATAGTCCTTGAGATTTAATATATAAAAAAACAAAGAAAGAGAGAGTTATTTGGTGTGTAGTTTTTAGGTATAAAGAAAATTTTAAAAAAAATACTTTTAGATGTGAGTTTTAAAAATATAGATTTAATTAAAACTATTAAAATAGCTCTCTATATTGTCCTCGTTTTTAGAGATTTATTCAATTAAATAAATCATGCTTTCATGGTTAGGTAAGTAATCCTTATTATCCAATTCTATAGGAGTAGTCGTTAATCCTTAAAAGAAATGCTATTATATAGAGCCTATAAATAGGCCTTTTTCTTTATCAATAAAATATTGCTTTTTCACCATTCAAATTCTCCTTTGTTTTTCAACGTAATGATAGTGGTATCAGAGCAAAGTTAATGAGATAAAACAAAAAAGAGAAAGTTTCTAAACAGTAAGTCTTTGAAATAGTCAAAAATAGTTGTAGCTTTTTCTCCTCTTCATCTTTTGCAGCAGTAGCTTTTTCTCCTTTTTCATCTTTTACAGGTAACAATGGCATCAGATTCAAATTTTGTGCAAGCAGTGATCCCACGTTTTGATGGTCACTATGACTATTGGAGTATGCTAATGGAAAACTTCCTTTGATCAAAAGAATATTGTCCAAAATAATCAAAAATAGCTGTAGCTTTTTCTCCTTTTTCATCTTTTACAGGTTACAACGGCATCAGATTCAAATTTTATGCAAGCAGTGATCCCACGTTTTGATGGTCACTATGACTATTAGAGTATGCTAATGAAAAACTTCCTTTGGTCGAAACAATATTGGCCGAATATTGAATCTGGAATTGAAGAACCAGCAACAACTGCAGTCTTAACAGATGCCCAGAAAACAGAGTTGGAAGGGAGAAAGTTTAAAGATTTAAAGGCAAAAAATTACCTTCTTCATGCAATAGATCGTCCCATCTTGGAAACAATTCTTACCAAAGAAACTTCCAAGGATATATGGGACTCCATGAAGAAAAAATATCAAGGCTCTGCTAGAGTAAAGCGTCCACAGCTTTAAGCCTTGAGACGAGATTTTGGGACCTACAAAAGAAAGTTGGAGAATTTGTCACCAACTACTGTGCCAAGACAATGGAGATAAGCAACAAAATGCAACTTCATGGTGAGAAGATGGATGATGGTGTTATTATTGAAAAAATATTGCGTTCTTTGGTACCAAAATTTAATTATGTTGTCTGTTCAATTAAAGAATCAAAAGACATAGATATACTATCTATTGATGAATTGCAGAGCTCCTTGCTAGTCCATAAACAAAAGATTAACTGAAATTCAAATACAAATGAGTAAGCTATAAAGGCTTTTACCTTTACTTAGTTCTCAAATTCTAGAGGAAGAGGTAAAGGTAAAAGTAGAGGTAGAGAAAGAGGAGGTAGAGGCAATAGAGATGACAACAAATAATTTTTTAAGACTGATAATGATCAATATCAAAACAAAGGAAAATGATGGGTTTAACACTTTGGCAAATCTAAGGTAAAGTGCTTTAGATGTCATAAATTTAGACATTATCATTCTGAATATTATGCTAGGCTGCCTAATGATAAAGAAAAGGAAGAGCAATTGCATTTTATTGAAAAAAAGAAAATGAATACTTTGTTAATGGTTGTTGAAGCTACTCAGAAGTTAGAGTTTAATGTTTAGTATATAGATACAAGCTACAATAATCACTTGTGTGGATGTAAGTCTTCTTTTTTCTTATTTAGATGAAGATTTTCATTCTATAATAAGTTTTGGTGATTGTTCCACGGTTAAGGAAAAGGTGATACTGAGATAAGAACCAAGAATGGTTTTATAGAAATAATTTCTGATGTTCTTTATGTTCCTAACTTGAAAAGTAATTTATTGAGTGCTGGTCAGTTACAAGAAAATGATTATGTGATAACTATTCAAAATGGTGTTTCTGAGAATATGATCTTTAAAAAGGAGCAATTTCTATTGTTCAGATGAGTTCAAATAGGTTGTTTCCATTGAAGATAATAACATCTCAACCTTGTTTAATGGCTGAAATAAAAGACCCTTCGTGGCTTTAGCATTTTCGTTATGGCCACTTGAATTTTAGTGGATTAAAGACTATTCAACAAAAAGATATGTTGAGAGGCTTCCTTAAAATTCACATCCCTTCCCAAATTTACAAAGAATGCATTATTAGCAAACAACATCATTCTTAATGGAGAGCAAAACATATGCTAGAGTTGGTACATTCTGACATTTGTGGACTGATAAATCCATCTTTTAATAGAGGTAAAAAATATTTAATTAACTTCATTGATGATTTTACCTGGAAAACTTGGGTTTATTTTTTACAGCAAAAATTAGAAGCTTTTTATGTATTTAAAAGCTTTATGACTCATGTGGAGAATGAAATAGGAATGACTATTAAAACCCTTCAAATAGATCATGGTAGAGAATATTGTTCAACCGCATTTGAAGTTTTTTTGTGCAGATCGTGGCATTCGAAGGGAACTAACAGCTACTTATACAGCAAAAAATAGAACCATCCTTAATATGATGAGAAGCTTGTTCGCAAGAAGGAACATTCCAAAGAATTTTTGGCTAGAGGTAATAAATTAGAGCATCCACATGTTAAATAGAAGTCCTACCTTTTTTGTTCAAAATAGGACACCTGAGGAAGCTTGGAGTGGGTGGAAACCAGCTGTAGATCACTTTAGAATTTTTGGTTGCATAGCTCATGCACATGTCCCAAATGAGAAAATAAAGAAGCTTGATGATAAGGGTGAAAAATGTGTCTTTCTTGGCATAAGTAAATGTTCCAAGGCTTATAAATTGTTCAATCCACTCACAAAAAGGATTGTGACCAGTCGAGATATTGTCTTTAAGGAGGAAAACACTTGGGATTGGAATAGGCAGCAACCTACGCAAGTTGTTTTTGACAGTGATTATGAAAGTGAGCCAACTCCAGTACCTATTATGCCTAACAATTCATCAGAAGTAACCCCAACAGTTGTAGAAATTTTGCCAATAACACCAACTCGATCTCTTCCCACCCCAACAGTTGCTGACATTCTACCAATAGCAATAGAAGCTATTATTGCAACAACTCCATCTCATCCTCATATTCGAAAAAGGCCTGCATGGATGGAAGACTATATAGTAACTGGAATTGAAGATCCAATCACTCATTTTGCTTTATTTTCAAATTGTGATCCTACAACTTTTAAAAGTGTTGTTAAAGAAGAAAAATAAAGAAAGGTGATGGATGATGAAATTGATGCCACTGAAAAAAATAACACTTAGGAGCTAACTAATTTTCCAAAAGGGCACAAAACCATTGGTGTCAAATGAGCTTTTAAAACCAAACTAACATAAAAAGGTGAAGTTGATAAGTATAAGGCAAGTTTAGTAGTCCAGGGATATAAGCAACAATATGGAATTGATTATACAAAAGTTTTTGCTCCTGTTGCAAGACATGATACAATCAGATTGGTGATTGCATTAGCAGCATAAAACTTGTGGCCTATTTTCTAGTTGGATGTCAAATTGACATTCTTGCATGGAAAGAAAGCTCTTTATGGGTTAATACAAGCTCAACAAGCTTGGTATAGTGGCATTGAGACTTATTTTTTTAAAGAAGGCTTTCACAAATGTCCATATGAGCACACACTATTTGTTAAAATTGGAGATAAGAGGAAACTTCTCATTGTTTGCTTATATATAGATGATCTTATATTTACTGGAAATGATGTTGTCATGTTTAAGGTATTCAAAAAAATCTATGATGATTGAATTCGAAATGTTTGATCTTGATATGATGCATTACTTTCTTGGCATAGAAGGAATGCAATCTGCTAATGGGATTTTTATTTCTCAAAAGAAGTATGTGCAAGATATTTTGGACAGGTTTCAGATGAAGGATTGCAATCATGTTAGCACTCCAACTAAATTTGGCTTAAAGATCATGAAGGGAAGAAGGTGGATAACACACTTTACAAGCAAATTATTGGCAGTTTGATGTATTTAACTGCAATAAGACCAAAATAAATATGGAGAATAATTAGTAGGTATATGGAGAATCCAACATAAATGCATTTGTTAGCAACTAAGAGGATCCTTCGTTACTTGCAAGGAACTAAAGATTTTGGGTTCTTTTATAAGAAGGGTGAAAAGTTAGAGTTGTTTGGGTTTACTGACAACAATTATTTAGGAGATCAAGATGATAGAAAAAAGCACTTTAGGTTATGTTATTATGTTAGGCACAAGTGCTGTTTCATGGAATTCTAAAAAGCAATAAATTATTACTTTATCAACTACAGAAGCAGAATTTATAGCTACCACAGCATGTGCTTGTCAAGCTATTTGGCTAAGAAGAATCTTTGAAGAACTATAGTTACAGCTAATACTATGTTTGTGATTTTATAGCTAAGTAAGTGGTTCTTGTTGTCCTATTCTATGGTTGTCCTATTCTACGGGAGTAGTCGCTAATACTAAGAAAGAATGATGTTATGTAAAGTCTATAAATAGGCCCTTTTCTATCAATAAAATATTGCTTTTCAACCATTCAAATTGCTGTTTCTCTTTTGTTTTTTAACGTAGTAACAAAAACTACTATAAAATAGATTTTTATAGGTAAACATACAAGTATCTATGAATAAAAAATTAATTAATTTATAAAACCAAGATTTGAAATATAATGATATTTAGAAACAATTTTTATTAACTATATAAATAAATTTTTCTTTATAATTAGATAAAAAAATAAATAATTATCTGTCATTAATCTGCCTATCACAAGCGGCGGATTAATGACAGATAATTATTTATTAATCAAGATTAGGAAATCCCTCAAAGAATCTTCCCTTTCTTTCTTTTTTTAAGTACAAAAGGTATTATATTAAAACCCTTTTAATTAATTAAGGATTGTGGAGAACTATATTTTTAATTAAGCAGTTGCATAACCTAACAAGAAAGTATGGTTTTCTTGTGGTGCAAGCCAAAGAGTGTGCCTATCACAACGACAAATTAACGAGAGATAGTTATTTAATAATCAAGATTAACAAAGCCCCCGAAGATTCTTCCCTTCCCAGCCAGCCAAACTTGTTTTTCTTCTCTTTTTTTTTTTATAAAAAAAAGAAGCATTATATTATATTAAACTCCTTTTAATGTGTTGACTTTTAGCTGATGCAAAGCAGACTTGACTTTATTATTCTTATGTTTCGAGGTCAAATTAATATAGTATATCCTGCTTATACTTTCCAGCAAATCAAAGTTATGTTTCAATCATTTAGGTGATTTTAAAATAGTAAAAACTTGAGATTAAAAAGTTTGTTTCTTTGTAATTTTAAATTTGAGTTCTTAATTATTTATATAATGATGGCTATTAAAATCTTACATAGTCATTAATTCTAGAGCTCATGAAACTAATTGTGGTACACGCAAGCTGATCCAAACATCTAAATTAATTTTTTTTAAAAAAAAATACATCCCAACCTTCCACCAAAACAGAGAGAGCTTGTGGCTTGGAAGATCACCCATCCCCCTCCATCTGCCCCTCCGCCACATTAATCGCATTGAGATCTCGGAGCCGGCCCACCTCGTTGTGGATCCCAGATGATAAGTTTATTTTTAAAAAATTAATACGACTTTACCATCAACATCAAATATAAGTGCAAGTGGGCACCTAGTTTCTTCTTCTTGTTTTTTTTTCCCCTTCTGGTATTCACTGACAAATCATGATCACGAAGATTTAAGGTTTGATAAATTGGCTGATTGTAGTTATAAAATTAAAAGCGAAATTCGTCTGATATTAATTGTCAAAAAAAAGAAAGATCTGTGGTTAATGCTTATGACTGGGTAGGTTTATATTCGACAATTCTTCTGTTGGAAAATTATCGCATGGTGACAAGATTACACGCTCGAGGGAACCCATTTTGGGAAATGCAGATTTAATTATCACCATTAAAGAAGGTAGTGATTGCACTGAACCTCAATTGCCTTGTGTAAGCTCTGGATCTATTGACCGGAGAGGATTTTGTACTCAGGAAGTATTTGTTCAATGAATTTTTCCAATCACCGAAGGAGTGAAATTGTTTTAAATATACTAAATTGATGAGGAAAATGCTCTGAAATTCGTTTAGAAATAGATTTAGAATCTAATTCGAAAATGCCACTATTCTACAGAATATGATGAGTACCATTCGAAAATTCTTCTGACAAATATCTTGAAATAAATAACTTTTTTTCTTTAAAAACAAATAATAAAATATTCCATAGGTTTCAGATTAGCGCCGTAAGATATGATCCTTCCAATTATATCAAGGCTGAAGAAATTGGAGCTCTTCACCTACCTCAATTGATATATATATATATACTGGTATTTAAGAGAGGTAAATCGCTGCCCGTTGACTCAGGAAAGGGAATATTGTAATTATTGCTTATTTAAATTTAACAGATTCATAGGCCATGTCAGGGTACCGTTGCCATTGACAAGTCCATTGGCCAATACATTCGGTATTCACCACAAAGTCTTCTCTCATTCACCTGTTTCTTATCAATAATTGGTATTACATTTAGAGTACGATGAGATCGGTTTGTCTGTAAGGATTTACTTGAAGGCAATAGACAAGAAAAATTGTCTTTTATCATCAACATTACGCAGCTTCTTCTTCGTCTTGTTTGCTGATGCAAAACACAAGTCAACTGTTCTTATGATCAATTGGTAAGTCGTTTTGGATCACGCTTCTTCTTTGTTTAAGATTATATGTACGAGTTTGATAAGTTTGTTTCATGAACATATTAATTCTTTTTGCTCAACTAGTGTTGGTTCTTGTACTTTTAGACTTCAATTTCTCTTAATGAATGTTCAGCTGTACATTGAAGTGGGTGCTCTTTGTATGTCTTTACGAGAAAAAGGAGAGCACTTGTTGATTTCGATTCCTTGTGATTGAGGAAGACACGATCTTGTAACTGTCTGATATGGCATCTTCATCTGCTGTTGCTCATAAATGGAAGTATGATGTGTTCCTTAGTTTTAGAGGCAAGGATACGCGCAATAATTTTACCAGCCATCTCTATGATGCTTTGTGTCGTAAGAAAATCAAGACCTTCATTGATGATGGGCTTGAAAGAGGAGAAGAAATTACGGGTGCACTTTTGAGAACAATTGAAGAATCGAGAATTTCAGTGATAATATTCTCAAGAAACTATGCATCTTCTCCATGGTGTGTGGATGAACTAGTGAAGATACTTGAATGCAAGAAGGCATATGGGCAGATTGTTTTACCAGTTTTCTATCATGTGGACCCGTCTGATGTTGATGAACAAACAGGGAGTCTTGGGGATGCGTTTGCTGAGCTTGAAAGAAATTTTAAGCAGAAGATGGACAAGGTTCCAAGGTGGAGAGCTGACTTAACAAGTGCTGCCAATATATCCGGATGGGATTCACAAATTATTAGGTGAACCATTCTCTTTTCTTTTGCCTCTACTTTTCAACTGTTTCTTGGGGACATTTAAATTTATGTAATGGCATCCTAACCCTTTTGCAACTTGTTGCTGATGAGTGACAGAGTAATGATCAATTTCCAATTCTGAGTACATAAATATAGTCAGAATTTATTTTCAGTTTGTTGAAGACTGACGTGCTATCATGTGAAGATCACGGTGTCTTCGATTTTACAATTTCACTTCCAATTCAATCCTGCAATCACTCTTCAAATGAGGGTCCTAATTAAGTGGCCAGGCCAATTGAGCTCTTGAACAGGAGCTTTCTCTAAAATGTATTTCAGACAATTTATTCAATTGGTTAGAAGTCGTGTGTTTAGTATGTGATCTTTTTAACTATTTTTTTTTTCAAGTTCAAGGAGTTTTTATCACTCAGGGTTACCTCTACTTTCCCATCGGAAATTACAATGGTAAATCTTGAAGTTGACAATCATATTTTTGGATTCAGAAGCATATGTTTTGAGATTTATAATTTGTTATGTGACTTCTAAATGTTACCAAATGAGCATAAAGTATTGTTGTGTATTGTCCCACACCATGTGATAGTGGGACCACCACATTTAATGAGAAGAGAGGCAGCTGACCACTTTAAAATTAAGTGGTTCGGGTACTGTAGCACAAGATTTGAAAAGAGAAGAGAGGAGAAGAAAATCAAGAGAGAAAAAGAGAAGAAAAGGCAGTACTATTTGATATATCTGTTCGTCCTCCATGTTGGCAGGCCTGAGTCGAGACTCGTGGATCAAATTGTGCAACATATTTTGAAGAAATTGAATTATGCATCCTCAAGTGATTTGAAGGGCCTGGTCGGAATGGATTCACGCATGAAGCAAATCGAAGCCTTATTATGTACACAGTTACCAGAGGTGTGTGTTGTAGGAATATGGGGCATGGGTGGTATTGGTAAGACAACCATTGCTGGAGAGATTTTCAACAAGATCGCAAGGGAATATGAAGGTCACTATTTTCTTGCAAATGTGAGGGAGGAATCAGAAAAGAATGGAGGATTATTTCGTATGCGAGATGAACTTTTCTCTAAAATAACAGAGGAAGAAAATCTACATATTCGCACTCCACGTATTGGACTCCCTTTCATTAAAGACAGGATCTGCCGTAAAAAGATTCTGATTGTTTTCGATGATGTGAATGATGTAGATCAAATTGAAATGTTACTTGGAGGATGTGAGTCGTTTGGTCCAGGAAGTAGAATTATCCTAACATCTAGAGATAAACAGGTCCTTAAGAAATATTCAGACAAAATATTTGAGGTTGGGGGACTGAATTACCAGGAAGCTCTTCATCTCTTTAGTTTGCATGCATTTAAGGATAATCATCCCCCATACAATTATATGGAGCTGTCTGTGAGGGCACTAAATTACGCTAAAGGTAATCCATTAGCTCTTAAAGTCTTAGGTTCCTTTCTACTTGGCAGAACGAGAGAAGTATGGGGAAGTGCATTGAACAAGGTTGAAAAACTTCCTCAGAAAGAAGTTGATATTGTGTTGAGAATAAGTTTTGATGCACTTGATAGAGAAGAGAAGAGTATATTTCTCGATATTGCATGTTTTTTTAAAGGGCAGAACATTGATTTTACAAAGAGAATACTAGATGGCTGTGGCTTTTCAGCTGATATAGGAATTAGTGTTCTTGTCGATAAGTGTCTCGTTACTATTTCTGGAAACAAGATAGGGATGCATGATTTGTTGCAGCATATGGCCCATGAAATTGTCAGCATGGAATCAGTCAATGACCCAGGAAAACGCAGTAGATTGTGGCATTTTGATGATGTGTATGATGTGCTGACCAGAAATCTGGTGAGAGTTTCATGCATAAGTTTCTCCCCTCCTTTTATGCATTTCTTTAATTTATCTCACTGTTCATGATTTCCCTTTGCTGTGATGTTTCAGGGAACTAAAAACGTTGAAGGGATATCCGTAGACTTGGATAGTTCTAAAAGGATAATGAAGGTGAGTTCCAGAGCGTTTGCGAGGATGTATAATCTTAGATTGCTCAAAGTTTATAATTCAGGATTCGGAAATAATAGTGAAGTGCTCCTTCCTCATGGCCTGGATTCTATTTCCAATGAGTTGAGGTATCTCCGCTGGGATGGATACCCTTTGAGATCTTTGCCGTTCAATTTTATTCCGCAGAACCTTGTTGAAATTAATATATCTTCAAGCAAGGTTGAACAACTTTGGCAAGGAAACCAGGTATTTCGCCACCTACAAATAAGCATACATTTATTTCTTTCACGTAAAAGTAATTATTAGAGATATAGATACTAATATGTTTGTCGACAACTACAAATAAGCATACATTATTAGAGATATAGATACTAATATGTTTGACGATTATTTCTGTCAGAATCTTGTGAATCTAAAAGAGGTCAACCTCAGCAATTGTAAGCATCTAACAGAAATCCCAGACCTCTCACAGGCTGCAAATCTCGAGAGTTTGAATCTTCAATCCTGTACAAGTTTGACAGAAGTTCCTCAATCTATCCAATATCTAGACAAACTCTCCGATTTCAATCTGAGATCCTGTACAAGCCTTATAAGCCTGCCAAGTAGTATTAATTTGAAATCACTCAAGACTCTTAACCTCTCAGGCTGCTTAAATCTTAAGAATTATCCAGAGATCGCGGAGAATGTGCAGTACTTAAATTTAAATGAGACTTCAGTTCCAGAACTTCCCCGATCAATTGAGCATCTTAGTAGACTTGTTGCATTGAATTTGAGGGATTGTAAGCAACTTGGGAATCTTCCGGAGGATGTATGTTCGTTGAAGTCACTTGAAATTGCTGATCTGTCAGGCTGCTCAAATATCACCATGTTTCCAGCTTTTCCAGGGAAAGTCAGATATATTTACTTGAGTGGAACTGCAATAGAAGAAGTTCCGTCTTCAATCGATCGCCTTTCAAGACTCTTTTCTTTGGATCTAATGGGTTGCAAAAGGCTCAAGAATCTTCCATGTACTTTTTCTAGGTTGGCATCTCTTGAAAAACTCAGTCTCTCTGGGTGCTCAATCATCACGGAGTTTCCAGAGCTTCCAGTGACTATTAAGGAGTTGTATCTGGATGGGACAGCAATACGAGAGATTCCTTCATCAGTTGAGCATTTGTCCAACCTTGTTGAATTGAGTCTGCAAAACTGTACAAGATTTGAGATTCTACCTGGTAGTATTTTTAACTTGGTTTCACTGAA